AATTTTTCACCTATTTACTCCACATTTGATCCTTTTTCACTCCTTTAAGCACTTTTCACCTTTTTACCTGTACCTGAAAGAAAAACACAAAAATACCTTCCATTAAAGTGCAATATCTCAAAAATAAGTATAAAAATGTGTCTAAAAACACTATATTTTAGGTGTATCATGACCGAATGTATCAGAGATAATCTTATCTTTAGGATTAGAATCTCGATTAGAATCTCTAAAATCATTTATAAGTACCCAATATATTTGTGTAGTGATTCCGTTAGAATTTGAAAGTATGTTAATGAGATGCAATGAGTTAAAGGAACAATTGACCTTATTTATCATGTGTGTTTATGTTTGTGTTACAATAATATATAAGACTAGAAGAACCTTTTTATATTACTATGTTGATACCTGTTATGCTATTTATAATTTTTTTTAGTTAATTTCATTCTGACAAGTTTATTTTAGATTTACTTTCTACTACATGTTTTCAATCCTGATAAATAATTTAAATGTTTTTGATAGACATTTGTGGTTGATAAAATTTCTAAACTGTTTTCCTTCCTGCTTATATTTTTTTGTATTGAATGTTATATATGTTTAAAATCAAGTTTGAGGTAGGAAGAAAAACAAAATTTAAAGTGACTATACTTCCTTTTAGTTATATATTATTGCAAGCTTGTTTTAGGCTATATTTACTTTCTCCTGCAGTCATTCTACCTGATTATGAATGTATATGAATTTCATAGGATGTTGTAGTAGTAAGTAGATTCAACTTTTACTTTTTCTTCCTGCTATATTTTATAGAATTAATTGCAAAATATTTTAAAATTTAAGTTTGGGGAGAAGAAAATTTTCTTGTAAAAGAAAGAAACTAAATTTTATTTATCCTCAATTAACTATATTTTCATTAACTATATTTTCAGCTATATTTTCAGAATTTAATTTGACATGACCTTCGGTATTAGAGGCTAACTTTAGATAACTATATTTGTGTTTCTAAATATATAGTAGAGTTAAGTAAAATTTTTCAATAATGAAAGTTATTTCTAGAGTTAAGATGTTTGGCACGAAAGGAGAAGACTATGCTTTTTCTACTTAAAGTAAAGGAAATTGTATTTTTGAAGTATTAAGAATCTTAGAGTTTCATGTAAGAAGAAAATAATGAGACTTTATGAAAAATCTTCAAAGCTAATATGAATTTATAAAGTGAAGGAATGTGAAAAGATTTTAACTTTAACAAAAGGATAGTGAAGTTCAAAATCATTAAAGGTTATTTAGATATAGTAATCCTCACATGAAAAAAAAAAGAAAGGATTGAAAATGATCCTGAAAGAAAAGAAAAAAGAAAAAGAAAAAGAAAATAAAAGATGGTATTGTCTCAGTCAACAAATGGTTAGAAAAATAAAGTTGTGTGATTTGAATCCTTGTGCTTCATGACCTCTTGATTTGGCCAATTAAGATGTTAATACCTGTTGTGAGAACATGTAAGATCCAAGATGATATTGTCTCAGTCAACAAAGTCAACAAATGGTTAGATCAGTCAACAAATGGTTAGAAACACATATTGATTTCATGAATGAGAATGTAGTTCATGGGGTTGAGTGTAAATAAATAGGGAAATAAACTTTTCAAAAGTGTAGATATAGAGAACTTTAGAGTGAGAGGCTAAAGCCCCCAATTTGATTTATAGTTTTAGGTTTTAATATGAGCTACTAGCCCCATGTGGAGGGAGAAGAGGGAACTTTAGAGTGATAGCTAGTATCTTCTCTACCTAACCAGTCTTCAAAATTATTTAAACTATAGATTAGTCAACGTTCTTTATATCATCTCTAGTAAGGGTAAAGAGTATTAAAGAATAAAGAATAATATTATTCCTATTTGGCACAACACATTTAGCATACTTTCATAACAGAATTTTTATACTTATTACTGATTCATGATAAGGAAAAAGATAGTTTACTTATATAGCATTCATCTTCCAAATATTTAGTTAAGTTAATTAGTTGTTTACTTTATTTTCATAAAACAAAAATTACAAAAATAATCAAATTTTTATTCTTATTATAGCTTCTTAAGTTTAAGTAAGAATATTTTGTTAAGTAGATTTTTTTCATCTAAATTTTTTAATTTTCTTAAGTGCATATTATTAGTCTTCTCTGTGGGTTCGATATTCGGGCCTTAATAAAAAATTTCTATATTCTTTGATTATGATACATATACTTGCATAGTATCCCATATTTAATTATTATAATTTGTATTCTTATTTTTAATAGTGGAAAACTAACCTAGCTTTGACTTTGGTTCATGTTTTTGGCTTTGTTACTAAGTAAGAATAACTGTTAAGGAAGTTAAACATATAATTGCATACATCGCATTTTACATCTATATACCAAAGAATCAGGATCACATAGCCAATGAGCAAATTAAACAATAAAAAATATTACAATTTTTTTTGTCTATAATTGGAAAAGGAAACAAGCTGGAAACTTTATTCAATGGGTGGCCTAGACGTTTATGTCAAAGATTTGGGGATGGTGAAGTAGCAACATTACACTTTCTCTTTTGTGGAGTATTAAGGTAGTAGTGTCCTCCTCTTTTAGTTCCCGTCCCAATCATCTTCCCCGATTATTGGGTCTGTAGCACACAAGTGTGGTTATTAAAAATGGCAAGGCATTGTGAATCAAACACAAATTTGCTAATGGAAATCAAATTTAATTTGAAGGAGGAGACACATAAAACATTTTGTAGAATGAAATTAACAAAATGGAAGTTGTCTATGTGTGTGATAGTTGCAGTAGCGTCGTTAGGCAAGTGAACTTTTCGATTAATGACACTAGATTTTTATAAAACATTTTGTAGAATGAAATTAACAAAATGGATGTTGTCTATGTGTTTGATAGTTGCAGTAGCGCCGTTAGGCAAGTGAACTTTTCGATTAATGACACTGGATTTTGTATTCAGTAGGTTGTCTGAATATATCATGTGATATGTTGCTTCTGTGTCAAGAATCCAGCGCATTTCTTTGTCAAAAATAGAGACGCAAAAAAATTTACCTGAGATATCACTCATGGCTAATGTACTGCCAACATGATTAGCCATCAAATTAGATTTGTTCTCTGCAAGTAGTGATATGAGACTTTGATATTGTTCGGCTGTAAGGGTGAATGGTGTAAGACTCGTCGATGTATTGGTATCCACATGGTTGTCTTTGGGAGCAAAATTTGTCCGTTTAGGTTTATTGCTCGTTGGATTGGTCATTTGCAGCTTCCTTCATTCATTGATGGTGTGTCCCTGCCATCCACAATAATCACATTTGAGATGTGCTCGACATGTGTCTGAGGTATGCCCAATTTAGTCACATTTTCCACACTTTAAATGAGGGTTTTTAGGCGTGAAAACCTTATCTGATTTTTGTGCATTATTCTTCAAGGCAAAAGCAGAAGCTTCTAACTGCTGTGCATTTACATTGTTCATCCCGCGCTACTTTTCCTCTTGGAGCGCGAGAGAATGTGCCTTGCTGACATTGGAAAGGGGATCCATGAGCAAAATCTGCCCTCTTATACCAGTGTATGTTTCGTTAAGCCACATGAGAAATTTCGTGGTTTTCTGGTTTTGCTGAAACTGCATCACTTCCTTCATAATACCACACGTGCATTTAGAAATGTTATGGAGGGTGTCACGTTCGCCCCATAGGCCTTTGAGCTTGGTGTAATAGGCTCCAACTATCATATCGCCTTGCTTGCAATCGTGAATGGCTTCTTCGACATAGAAAATATGAACACTGTTGGTACGAGAAAAACGTTCCTTCAAGTTGAGCGAGATTTCATGGGCACTCTCATTGTATATTATACTTGCTCCAATGTCTTCTGCAATTGAATTAAACAACCATGCCTTGACAAGGTTGTTGCAGCACCTTCATTGTTGAAGTTCTGCAGTGGACGTCTTTGGTGGTTCTTTGACAGTGCCGTTGACGAAATCTTCTTTGTTTGTTATGTTGAGAGCCATCAACAAGGCGCGACTTCAGGTATTATAATTTTCTCCATTCAACGGTTGCGTAACGAGCAAGAGACCAAGTTGATCTAAGTAGTTGAGATAAAAGGGGTCGTTCGGATTATCGAATTTGCTATATTCAGGCTTGGTTTAATTTTGAGTTTTGTCTGCCATGTGTTTCGACTTAAAAAGAAGATAAATGGGGGTTTCAGCATGGAAGAGAAGATGATGAGACTCAGAATCATGTTTGCTTTGATGCCATGTTGAAATTCAAAAAATGTGGAATAAAGTGGAACGCTTCATTATTTCATTGATATGAATGATCGTATAAATAACTTTTACAAGAATCCTATAATAGGAAAAATAATTAAAAAAAAACGATATAGAAGGAAAGATATATCATCTGATATCTTCAATAATTAATTTTACTATTAGGAGAAATATGAAATAACATAAAATAGGAAAACAAATAATTTCTAATCCAAGGAAATAAATATAAGATAGGAAATGAAATATCTCCTTAATTCTAAGGAAAGACTTTATTTACAAGAATAAATTATTTCCTATCATAACTCGTAACAGGATGTTGGGTTCGAACTAGTACAATTCTATGCAATAGAAGATAAGAAACTACTTGAGCACATGAGCTCTTATCATTATTTTGAGTTAAAATGAATCGAAGCAACAAAGGATTATTTGCATTTACTCTAGAGTTTAAATTATTATTTTTGGACTCATGTGCTTAAACGAATCACACGAGCCGTTGTTGATGAATAAAAACTTCTCTTGACGGCGCTCATCAGAGGCAAGTGGGGATGTTGGGATGTCGAGGGTAAACGTTCGGAAAAGAGACCCTCTCAACTTGGAATTTTGGCCATCCGATTTACGGCCTGCATCCAACGGCCCAAGTGCACCGATTTCAAAAATCAGGGGATGAGAAGAGCTATTAACCCTACTACCCGACCGCCCCCCTCTCTCTCTCTTTGAAGCATGCTTTCCCCCCCTCTCTCTCTCTCTCTGGCTCTCTCTCTGTCTCTCTCTCTCTCTCTCTCTCTAGATCGATCGATCGGTTTCTCTTCCTTACTCTAATCGCTTCAACCCGCGATCCGTTTTGGGAGGTGAAGAATCCACTTGTTTCTCCACTCCCTTCATGGAAGAATTCATGGAAATCGATGCAGCGGCAGTATCAAACAACGAGAAACCACAAGGTTTGAACAACAAAACCCATTCTTCCTGTTTTCTGAGAATCACTTTCAAAATGGTTCGTTTACGACTATTACTCTGGTTTCCACGCCTGGAAAGCATTATTTTTGCCAGTTTATGGATTTTGTATGGTTTATTTGGCGAATTCATTTCAGATTTGGAGCCGAAGCTTTGGTCCCCTGAAGAAATTCTTAAAAATTACATTCTTGGCGAGGTTATGACTTCTTCTTTCTTGCTTGGTTCTTTTATCTTTGATTTTTGTTAATCTCTTCTTTAACGTTTTTTTTTCCCTAACTGCAGCAATTTGCGGATGACTGCTTCATTCCATCTCCTGTGCTGAAGGAAACCTCGAAGCCATTCTACCTTGGCCCTGATATTATTTTAGCCCTTCAGAAAATCGGTATTGATTGTCTCCTTCCTTAATTTTTTTTCTTTTCTGCTTTGATGTTTGATTTTCTTTTCTGCTTTCATGTTTGATCTTATTTTCCCCACTGCTTATGTTTTGTTTTTTTTTCTGTTTAGGGATGAAATATAACAATTTGTTAAAGAAGCATCAGGTTATGAATTCTGAAACTGAGATTCTGAAAGCAAAGATCGACAAATGCGTTCAAGAATGTCAGCCAAGGTATGAAGCTCTTGAAAAGAAGCATAATGAGTGTCAGTATCTGATTCCTGAAATTGAGATGTTGCAGAGTAAGTGTGAAGCTCTGAGCAAGAACTGTCTTCAGGAATGTGAACCTAAGTATGAAGCACTTAAAAAAATTTTAGCAGAAGAGACAGCTGAGAGGAAGGGCTTCTATAATGAGCTAATTGAATTGAGAGGAAATATTAGGGTTTTTTGTAGATGCAGGCCACTCAGCAACGAAGAAACTTCCAACAGTTGTACTTCTGTAATAGAATTTGATCCATCTAAAGATACTGAATTGCAAGTTACCTGTGCTGACTCCTCAAGAAAAATATTTAAATTTGATCATGTTTTCAGTCCCAAAGATGACCAAGGTAATGCAATTAAAGCCTTTTTGTTTGTGTTTTGTTGAATAAATAATGATGATATAATGGTGACTACATTTTGCCTGAAAAAACCATATTTTTTGTTTTAATTCCTGTTTATTCTACAGAGGCTGTATTTTCTGAGACTTTGCCGATTGTGAAATCTGTCATGGACGGCTTCAATGTTTGCATATTTGCGTATGGGCAAACTGGGACCGGCAAGACATTCACTATGGAAGGAACACCTGAATGTCGAGGTGTAAATTACAAGGCTTTGGAAGAACTGTTCAGAATTATGAAAGAGAGAATACCTTTGATGCATTATGAATTTTCATTTAGTATGTTGGAGGTTTACAATGAGAAAATCAGGGATCTGCTGGCAGATAACTCCGATCCCTATTCTAAGAAGTGGGCTTTTTTTTCTTTCAATACAAAGATTCAAATCTTTAGGTTATCATTTTTGTGAGTATTTTTTTTTTTTAATATCATGAAGGCTGGACGTAAAGCAATCTGCAGAAGGAACTCAGGAAGTTCCCGGGCTTGCTGAAATTGAAGTATGCAGCATCGACGAGGTGTGGGAGATGCACAAATCAGGAGGAAGAAATAGAGCGGTTGGGTCAACTAATGCTAATGAGCTCAGCAGCCGTTCTCATTGGTGAGTGTTATACCCTCTTTTTCATTCACATTTTAAAACCTTCCCGTGGTTTTAAAATGTTTCTGTTTTCAACTTGATTGACAGTGTTTTCTGTTTTCAGTTTGGTCCGTGTGACGATTAAAGGAGAAAACTTGGTGACCGGGGAGAGGAGCAAGAGCTTCCTGTGGCTGGTGGATTTAGCCGGAAGTGAACGCCTAGGCAGAATTGAGGCCGAGGGAGAGAGGTTGAAGGAATCACAGTTCATAAACAAATCTCTCTCAGCTCTTGGAGATGTTATATCAGCACTTGCCTCAAAGAGTTCCCACATTCCGTATAGGTATCTCTTAAACTCCGAATATGAACATCCACCACATACATAGCACAATTGTAAGAGTAGTTTGTTGCACCTTTTAGTATAGTTGGGGGATTTGAATCTCCCTATGTAAGACTCCATCCACATACTTCTGATTTGCTTGGTGAAATCTAATACCGTATTCTTTAATTCACTTTTAGGAACTCAAAACTGACTCATTTATTGCAAAGTTCTCTTGGTGAGTCCTTCAGCATCTCGGTTATGGTGTACTCCTTATTTTTATTAATTGTCGGTTAACAAATGAAAAATGAAATTTTAATGCCTTCTTATTTTCTAATTCTAAAATTTTATAGAACTCTTGTTTGATATTAAACTACAAAGCTTCACAATGTTTTGATTGCTTGGTTGTCCAAAATAAAATAGGTGGGGATTGCAAGACATTGATGTTTGCACAGATTAGCCCTAGTTTGGCGGATTTAGGAGAAACTCTTTGTACTCTTAATTTTGCCAGCAGAGTGCGTGGAGTTGAGCATGGGCCTGCCAGAAAGCAGTCTGATCCAGTTGATAACTTCAAGCTCAAGCAGATGGTACAATATATGAAACTTTTTATATACTGATTGGTAATTTTTTTTTTATTTTGTAGTGACTTTTTCTTTGTGTAGGTTGAAAAGCTCCGGCTGGAAGAAAAAGAAGTCAATAGACTCAATGAAAGCTTGCAGATGATGCAAATCAAATACGCATCACGGGAGAATATCTTTAGGACACTTCAAGAAAAGGTAAATCTAGCATTCGAGCATGAACAAGATAGAGGGGTGTATCTTATAAAAATTTTTGATTTGTAGGTGCCTTTAAAGATTATGAACTTATCGAGTTATGTCAAATGTTTTTTAATTTATGCCTGTTTTCATAACTAATAATTAACTGTGGATGCAGTTTCTGATGTCTTTTTATAATGGGCTCCTGTTAATGATAATTTGTGATGTTACTGTTCTAAGTCGTTTCTTTGTTTACTTCTTATGGTCTTTTGACTTACAGATCCGAGAATCAGAGCAAGCATGTAAGAATTATCAACAAAAGGTGTGTACTTTCTCCCTTTATCTGATAATGCAAGGAGAAAATTAAACCAGTTACTAGAAATTTGCTTGGTAATCTTGTTTTCAACTATTTGAGGTTGGCTTTATGGTGTCTTTAATTTCCACTCAACCTTATTTTATTATATCTTCCATTGAACATTTTCTGAACAAATATTTTTCAACAGCTTCTATCTAAATTATCTTCGAAAGTCCTGTACTCCTTTCATTCCTATGCCGTGGACACTAATTTTATTTACATGAATTTTTTTTACTCTCCATTGGAACCTTTCCATATTTCAGATCAAGGATCTGGAAAACCAGCTAGTTGAAGAGAAGAAAGCCAGAACTCAGCTCGCTGCAAATGAAACGACTAGATCTTTTCAAGCATCATCGAAGCAAAGGCCACCATTGGCCAGAATCACAAATCGACTACCTCCTTTGGCTCATCATAAGACAGCAAAAACAGCTTTTGAAAATAAGGAGAATGCTTACTCAAGAGGTAAAGATGTCACTAAAGGCTTTACAACCAAGCCTCTTGGAAGAGCTAGAAGGATCTCTTTGTCCCCGGTTGTTTGCAGTATGCCGAATAATAAGAGAAGGGCCTCAATTGCTACCGAACTAGGAACATTAGCACTATTACCAGAAAAGCAACATATGAACCATGCAAATTTTACCACAAAACTATCTCAGTTAAGGATTCCTAGGAGGAGATCAGTGGCTACATTAACTCCTTTTCAAGAGAGTCCAAAAGACAACGGAAAATGCATTAGCAGCTTCAAATACCCTAGCACTTTACAGCTGCAAACCATGTGGAGATCGAAGTTTCCCAATCTTCCTTCTCCATTACACCAGAATCAGATTCCGTCCAGGCTTCCCAACCTTCCTTCTCCATTACAGCAAAATCAAACTTTCTTGAGTGGTGCGGGAAACACTGCACAACATCAGAACAAATTATGCTATAGCATCCAAAAGAGAGTCATTTTGGGATCGCCAGCTCAAGCAAGGCCTATCAAACTTTTGGAATCCAGATTTAATGAGGTTGCCCTTCAAGCAAAGGAGATGATGGTAGGGAGGTTTGGAACTGCTCAGCGGGGTTTGATTAATAACCGGAGGAAGAGTATCTTGTAGAAAGAAATAACAATGAAACATTATTTCGTGTTTTGCTTTAGATGTTATTTGTTGATGTTAAGGAAGACTTCTGATTGCCTTGCAATGACCATTAATGTTTTTGGTCAATTTTTTGCCATTTTAATGAAACTTACTTTATTGTGTTTCTTTTATTCCTATTAATGTCTAGTATGTATTAGGAGTGTGCATTGTCAAATTATACCGAATAATCAAACCGAACCATATATTATTGGATGATTTGTGGTTCGGTTTGTAAAATTAGTAGTTCACATATTAGTTTAAAAATTGAAATGTTTAGTTTCAATTTTTAAGAGACTTCTTTTCAAGAGAGTCCAAAAGACAACGAAAAATGCATTAGCAGCTTCAAATACCCTAGCACTTTACAGCTGCAAACCATGTGGAGATCGAAGTTTCCCAATCTTCCTTCTCCATTACACTAGAATCAGATTCCATCCAGGCTTCCCAACCTTCCTTCTCCATTACAACAAAATCAAACTTTCTTGAGTGGTGTAGGAAACACTGCACAACATCAGAACAAATTATGCTATAACATCCAAAAGAGAGTCATTTTGGGATCGCCAGCTCAAGCAAGGCCTATCAAACTTTTGGAATCTAGATTTAACGAGGTTGCCCTTCAAGCAAAGGAGATGATGGTAGGGAGGTTTGGAACTGCTTAGCGGGGTTTGATTAATAACCGGAGGAAGAGTATCTTGTAGAAAGAAGTAACAATGTAACATTATTTCGTGTTTTGCTTTAGATGTTATTTGTTGATGTTAAAGAAGACTTTTGATTGCCAATTGCAATGACCATTAATGCTTTTGGTCGAATTTTTTTCATTTTAATGAAACTTATTTTATTATGTTTTTTTTATTCCTATTAATGTCTAGTATGTATTAGGAGTGTGCATTGTCAATTTATACCGAAAAATCAAACCGAACCATATATTATTGGATAATTTCTGGTTCGGTTTGTAAAAATTAGTAGTTCGGATATTAGTTTAAAAATTGAAATGTTTAGTTTCAATTTTTAAGAGACTCTCCTTTTCAAGAGAGTCCAAAAGCAACGGAAAATGCATTAGCAACTTCAAATACCCTAGCACTTTACAGCTGCAAACCATGTGGAGATCGAAGTTTCGCAATCTTCCTTCTCCATTACACCAGAATCAGATTTCGGCCAGGCTTCCCAACCTTCCTTCTCCATTACAGCAAAATCAAACTTTCTTGAGTGGTGTGGGAAACACTGCACAACATCAGAACAAATTATGCTATAGCATCCAAAAGAGAGTCATTTTGGGATCGCCAGCTCAAGCAAGGCCTATCAAACTTTTGGAATCCAGATTTAATGAGGTTGCCCTTCAAGCAAAGGAGATGATGGTAGGGAGGTTTGGAACTGCTCAGCGGGGTTTGATTAATAACCGGAGGAAGAGTATCTTGTAGAAAGAAATAACAATGAAACATTATTTCGTGTTTTGCTTTAGATGTTATTTGTTGATGTTAAAGAAGACTTCTGGTTGCCAATTATAATGACCATTAATGCTTTTGGTCATTAATGTTTTTGGTCAATTTTTTGCCATTTTAATGAAACTTACTTTATTGTGTTTCTTTTATTCCTATTAATGTCTAGTATGTATTAGGAGTGTGCATTATCAATTTATACCGAAAAATCAAACCGAATCATATATTATTGGATGATTTGTGGGTCGGTTTGTAAAAATTAGTAGTTCGGATAATAGTTTAAAAATTGAAATGTTTAGTTTCAATTTTTAAGAGAATCTCCTTTTCAAGAGAGTCCAAAAAACAATGGAAAATGCATTAGCAGCTTCAAATACCCTAGCACTTTACAGCTGCAAACCATGTGGAGATCGAAGTTTCCCAATCTTCCTTCTCCATTACACCAGAATCAGATTCCGTCCAGGCTTCCCAACCTTCCTTCTCCATTACAGCAAAATCAAACTTTCTTGAGTGGTGCGGGAAACACTGCACAACATCAGAACAAATTATGCTATAGCATCCAAAAGAGAGTCATTTTGGGATCGCCAGCTCAAGCAAGGCCTATCAAACTTTTGGAATCTAGATTTAACGAGGTTGCCCTTCAAGCAAAGGAGATGATGGTAGGGAGGTTTGGAACTGCTCAGCGGGGTTTGATTAATAACCGGAGGAAGAGTATCTTGTAGAAAGAAATAACAATGAAACATTATTTCGTGTTTTGCTTTAGATGTTATTTGTTGATGTTAAAGAAAACTTCTGATTGCTAACTGCAATGACCATTAATGCTTTTGGTTGAATTTTTGTCATTTTAATGAAACTTATTTTATTGTGTTTCTTTTATTCCTATTAATGTCTAGTATGTATTAGGAGTGTGCATTGTCAATTTATACCGAAAAATCAAACCGAACCATATATTATTGGATGATTTGTGGTTCGGTTTGTAAAAATTCGTAGTTCGGATATTAGTTTAAAAATTGAAATGTTTAGTTTTCAATTTTTGGATATGATTTTGAATAAAGAAATTTGTTATAATAAAAAAGCTGAATATGCATTCATTTCTTAACTTAAAGTCTTTAACATCACGGACCTGTGCGCCACTCGGGACGCCCTGATTCTGATTTAAGGGACATTCCGCGTTCAACCCATGGATTCCCCCTTCCAGTTGTAAGATTGTTTTATTTATGTTTTTGTTTTTTGATGTCATCTAGTATGGCCAAAATTTTTAGTAGAAATCTATTTAAAATTTAATCTCTATTTGCATTTCTTTCAATTTGATATATGCATGTGAGAGTAAGGCTACTATATGTTGCAACCTTTTGGTTGATTCTATCACTTCGTCTGATGTAAATTTAGCTTTACTAGCTTCTTATAGCCATTTGGAAGATTATCATTTACTCAAGATGTTCAGAATAAAATTCCAAAAGCCACCATATATTTCTTGCTTGCTACATACTTTTTTTTGTGATATGAAAGAAGTGAGTGGTTAAATGTAATATGTTTAGGTGTTAGATGTGTAAATAGATGGGAATTGGGTGTAATGCCCCATTTATTTAGTTTTTTATTGTTGGATATGTAAATACATAAGAATTGATTAAAGAATTTTGGTTTAACCAAAACCGAAGAGAAATGATGGAACCAAACTATTGTTCGGTTGCTTTAGCTACACATTTTGTTTGGTCCATTTAGGCTAATTTTATAAACATCCAAAATCAGTTGGTTTAATTAATTTGTTATCCAAATCATCCAAATAAATGGGAGACACACCTCTAGCATGGACTGACGTACTGACGTGCAACAAGAGTTATTGACTACTATATACTTCTACTTTATATTCATGAGTAAGTTTTGAAGGTGGTTGTGCTATTGAAGTAGAAAAGTTTGAAGAGGATTAATTAGGGGTAGAGGGGTTGAAGACGGTGATAAGGTTGTGGCGATGGTAAATGATAACAAGCTCATGGAAGGTGGGAATTTATATTTTTATAGTTCAAAATCAAGAAAACAAACTAAAATAAAGCCTTATTTTAAAGCTAAGTAACAATTCTAGTTATTAGTGTATTTTATATTTATTTAATCATTTTAATCTTTTGTAATGTATCTTTATACTGAATATGCACTTCTAAAATCTCCCTTGGTGACAAAAAAAATTTCTATAGCAAGCTAATGTTAAATTTTTTGCTAAAGTTGAATTTTTTTTCCCACTAATGCATCTTCGAGATCAACGAGTGGCTAGCCCTACTAGGGTTCTGCGTCTTCCTCTTCTTGGTTGTCACCCCCTCTTCCAAAGGTTTACTTCTTTTTGTCTCTCTTTGTTGAAACCTTTTTTGCTCTCCCAACATTAATGGATATATCAAAGCTTTTTGGCTACACTTTATTTTTTTGGAATATCATGGATCCCTTAATTTTTCTAATCTCCTGACATCCACCTCATTCTCTTTGGTTTTCTTTGGTTTACTTCATCTAATGATCTGTCTTCAACTCTTCATATGAATTGGAGAGGACTATTTATTGTTGACGTAACAAAATCATCTTTTTTTTCTCTAAGTTATATTTCCGACCTAGATGATAAGGTTTCTTTTTTTGATGAGGAGGTCACTAATGGTGTCAAGCCATGGACTCTTGCTTTGGCCGGCTATGCCATAAGCCATCACTATTACAACCCGACCTGATGCAAACTATCATATCAAGATGGGTCGTCTCGTGTTGAGGTAACGACAATTAAATAGTTGTACAACACCTACTCAGGAAAAAAATTATTCATCTAATATTTTTTTTTTCAATTTTCACAATATAGAGTCACTAATATCATCAATATATTATGAAATATAACCACACAAAATTCATTTAAATCATATCACAACTATATAATAAAAGGAACAAAACTTTCGAAAAAAAATTGTAGAAGAAATTATTTTGATGTTAAGAAAAAGTAATCATTAGTAGATAGGTAATGGTTACTAGTCCTAAGCATTATTCTGGTAAGCACATACATTGTTCAAGTAATATAATGATTGAATTCAAGATCATATTCATGAGGATCGAGATCAAATCGCCAAATCAAGTTAATTACAAGTTCTACTTCAAATTAGATTTTATCCGATCAATAATAAAATTTTATGATTTTTCTCGTACAATAAAATGATTAATGTTTTATATTTTTTTAGCTTAGGAAAGTTTGTTTAAACTAGTAAGAGCATAAAAATTTTATAATATGCTCTAGTTTATCTTATAAAAGTTCTTAATTGAGAACATATAACCTTCGTCGAGAAGTAAGGAGCATTGAGGTTTCCAAATACCATTTAGGTGAGGCTGAAACATACACAAACCTTCATGATTTCCTATTCTTCATTAAATTATAATTTTGCAAAATCTATATCCATATGTTTTAAGAAAATTTAGGTTTTAACTTATTGCTCCTCTAGTTTGTCATCAAAATTGTTTTCACATAATTTATTTAACATACATCTAACTGACACGTATTTAAATGAAGTTACTGGTTGACAAAACAACTTAAATCATTTTTCATTCAAAACTAAATGTGCATAGTTACAATCACTCATAAATATCACAAATCCAAAAAATCAGGACTCATTTACACAGGTTTAAAAATAAAAATCATAAAATAAGATATCAAGTACAAAAACACAAAATAAAAATAATG